TTATTATTATTTAAAATAAAATATCTATTATTTTAGATATATCTAAAATAATAACTATCAACTCAGTTATCAAAGAAACATTCAGATTTTAAAGGTATTACAAAAACATACATAAAATCATTTCATTATCTGTCTCTGTGTAGATACTTCTCACCATACTGTACCTGGTTTTCAAGTTTAATTTGATTATCTTCCAGCTCTCCATTTCTAATAGTTTCTTGCTGTAACATTTGCTGATGATGATGCAAAGTTTGTTGTAGGAGAATATTTTGTTCATTTGTGTCTTGAATATTCTGATTTTTTAGTTTTATTTCTTTCTGTAAATAATGAACCTGAAAACACATTTATTTTCCATTACAATAAAACATTTTTTTGTACTTGCATCAGCTATTCTCTTTGTTCTTAATGAGCATAGAATCACACCCATGATTCAGTATAACTTGACTCTGAATTTAGTTGCATTACAGTTTCAACAGTACATAATACCTCTCAATTCATCACCAAGTTGTGCTTTATAAAGTGAGGAAAGAAGTAACTTATCAGCACCGGTATTTGACCTCTGCTTTCTAATTATACCTAAAACGGTCAATATTTTAAAAACATATATAACAAAGATTTTTCATTTCTAAATTACTAAACTACTTTTCTTTCTGTCACTCTTCTTATTTTATTTCTCAGAAATTCCTTGTTTTCCCCTTGAGATTTTGTTCTCAGTCCTCCCTTTTATTTCTTCCTGCCTCTATGACAATAGTCATGCCAACAAAAAAACAGGAATTCTGAATGCCCAACTTGTCACATGTTGAATGGACTCACTTCTCAATGATGAATGCAAAGAATTTTCTACAAAAAGGAAGGGTTCTTTAAAGAAAAAACAAACAAAACAACGCTAACTGCTCACCTCCAAGTGGAAGTAGTGACTCTGTCACTTACTTATGAGAACTGGTCACAATTACAAAGCCTCACTTGCTACCCTGGAGCTTCTCACAGCATCCAGTCTCTTCTTATGCAGTATAAGAACAACAGATTTTAGTGCTTAGAAAGCAGCAGTAAATATCACAGGCTTATGCACAACACAGACCATGGATTTCCATCCGGTGACTCCTGTACAGAGTCTAGTAATCTCCGGTTGCCTACAACCTATCTCTCAGCAGGTAGGGCAGCGCTGACATGAACAGCCTACTGTGATAATTAGTTCATGTGGTTACTCATCCCCACAAATAAAGATTCATACTAATATTTAAACTTAATTCTTTCTTGCTTTCATGTAGTAGTAGAAAGTATGATAAAACTCAGGAGCTTGAAGTAAAAATTTTCTTATGCTCAGGACTTCTTCCCCATTAAGACACTTGAAACAAATCAATTATGTGCACCTAAGTTTGCAATAGCAGGCTCTTCATTTTTTTTCCAAGATAATGCTTTCTTTCACTTAATTCTGATTTTTTTACTTTTCTCAACAATTCATTTACCTTGATATTGCCTTTTCCCTAAGCTTACCCAGTGTTTTTTAGTTATGACCTTCCCCTTTACCCTCATAAAATGTATACTCTTTTCCCAGCTTACTTCCTATTCACAGCTCCTGCTGCAAATGTTTTCTCTTGTTTCACAAACTTTTAGATTAAATAATTCATAACAAGTGTTTTCTGCAATATAGAAGAGTTTTTAAAACAAGCTATTACCTCTTCAGACTTTTTTTTGAGGTGATTTTCAAATACCTCTTTATTTTCTTGTGATTGACTCAAATACAGTGCAACTTCTTCCTTACATACGTCTAGTGCTGACTCAAGTTGTCTCACCTAGTTGAATGTAACAGATTACTTAAAACTGCATGGTAAAATGTGAAAAAACATTTTTGTATAAAATGTGTGAAAAGCTACATTAGTATCTAAAGAGTATCAAAACAGGCATGGAATATTATGATAAACTTCAAAACTGAAAGTGTTCAGAAATTAAAATTATCTATGAAATTAACTTACAATACTTTAGACTGTGTTTAAATCAGATGAGACTATCAGTTATGACAAGATATTCCAGTAAATACTGGATTCAGTAGCTAGAATTTAAAAGCAAACATATGTCCAACACCAAATCATTAACCCACCATATTTTATTACATATTAAATGTTACATATAAATTGTATAAATAAATTTGGAATGATAATCAGATGTGGGTTGTGACAAGTCTTTTCCAAAAATAACATTCAGATCTTAATACAATTCCTCTCAGAAAGCTACCAAACAGCATTTTTTTTCCTTTCTGCACTGACAGTGCCCGAATTCTGTCAAAAGGGAAAGGAAAGACTTCTAGCCATGTCAACACTGTTAAATTTATTTTACTCTTTTACTATTAATTTGGATTTGAGTAATTTCTAACAAATAGCTTATAACTTCAAATAGATAAAAGTTTTAATGAACAAATCCCCAGAGGTCTTAAGCCGTAATAATTACTTTTTTTAACTGTTTGGTTTCAATGCTAAGAAGATTTTTCTCATCACCGAGAACTGTGCTGAGTTTAGCTGCAGATTGGCTACTGCTTTCAATGCTACCAATTTTCTAAACCATATTGATAAAATCCTCTCTCCCCACCCAATTCAAGAGCTTTTTGAAGAGAATTGATCTTGGGTCCTAATTTTAAACCTCTGGAAAACATCCCAAATACTATAAAGCCACTTGGATAGAAAACTGGTCCAACACAAGTTCAGAAACAGCATGCTAACAGATAAGTCCACATATGTCTAAAAATATATTTCGTATCTAGAGCAAAAACCTACATAATATTATCTGTTAGATGACGTCTTACTTTAAGAACACAACAAGCACAAATCTGCCCTATTTGTAACTACAGCAATTTTATAAAGCAATTTTGCATTGCATAATCTTTTATTGCAGGTTTCACCATACTACTTCTAATTAAAAAAAAAGGGAATTCTTCAGGTTAATGACTTTGTCTATAGAGGATAAAAGGAAATACACCACTACTGCAAACTTTAAAACTATTACTTGAAAATTACAAATTGCTTACTAACTTTGATGGTTTCTTCTGTTAACTGGCTTTTCAGCATCTTCAATCCTTGATCCTTCTTGACATTTTGGTTTTCTATTTTCTGTTTGTGCGCATATTTTTATTCAAGAGAACAAAATGTAAATATAGTAATTTAACTAATAAAAACTCATACTAAGAATCAGGGAAAAAAAACAGATCAGTGTATTTAAAACACAATTGCTTGTATACTGTATTTGTATACATCAATCTTTGAAGTGAATTTGGTTAACGACAGGTGTCCCTTCATACTCTGCAGCAGCAGCAGTTATTAAAAGAATAAAACATTGACATAATAGATCATTCTTGGTTTTCTACCTAGTGCAAAATAACGCAATTGTTCTTTAACCAGATCATCTCCAATTTTCCCATGTGTTCATGGACAAACTTTTCACCATTATTAGTCACTTGTTTGATTTGCTTTTAAAGAAAGCCCAGAGCCAACCTTACCTCTCTGCTTTCTATCAGCAGCCCATCCAATGATTCAATGTGATGCTGTTTATGTATAACATCTTGTTGCAAAATAGATATTATTTTCTCTTGTTCAATGAATTGTTGATGTTTCTTCTCCAGCTGTGTCTGAAGCTGTCCATAAGTAATTAATGATTATTTTAATAAGGTTTTTCAGAGACTTCGTGCATCTAAATATGTAATTCAGTTCCATTTAAGAATGAAAATTAAATATACTGCTGCCATCAGTAGTATTGCACAGTATTAACAATATCAAGAAATTTCAAACCCTTAATATTTTAAAGCAACAGGAGAATCAAGAGAATGAGGGCAGGCAGAATAATGTAATTGCCTGTCATCAGCCAAGACAGTAAGACTTGCATACCTTCTTTTGTAAAAGACGACAATCTTCTTTAACAGCTAGAAATACCCACGGTTATATTTCTAATCACAAGAAGCAACAGAATTCTTCTCTAAAGACTGAAAAACCCGACTGACAGTTCTGCCTGAACACAGATGCTCATAAGGCTCAGACTAGCAGAGGCTCAGTAAACAAGAGAATATTGTTAGAAGCTGTCATGCTTTAGCCTTGGTAGGCAAAAAAATCTATACTACTTTTTTGTGTGTGTGCTAGGTGTTTGGAGCAAAGGACATCAGTATTCTTCCTAAGTTCCTATTTCTCTTCATTTGAGGAGAAAAGAGGATATTATTTTCTCAGAGGGAAATAATGAGATTGTGTAGTGTTAGATAGGAAACGAACTAAAATCAGGAAGTGTCAGAAGAAGATAATATAACTTTTTAATTGGACATCTGCCTCAGAATTACTAAAAAGACAAATAAATTAATACAGGAGAAAAGTTACAAGTAGATCATTCATACATACTAGCACACAAAGAAGGTCTTACTAGTTCAATCTGTTTCTCCATTGCTTTGTGCTGCTCAAGGTGAACCAACTTTTCTTTCTCAAAAGTACAAGTTATTTGCTCATGTTCTTTGCTAATAGTGGTTTCCAGCTCATGAATGTGTCTGTTTTTTCCCTGGGAAAGAGCAACAACAAAGAGAACTTAATAAAAATGTTTAGCTGTGATATTAAATAGTGTTTTATCTGATGATTGAGTTCCTAGATTTCATAGGCGAACAACACAGAAAATACTGAAGTTATACACAGCATGTTTTATCTCAAAGGATGTCACACCCATAATACAGGTGTAAAATGCCACTAAATGCAGCCACTACACAGAGACAAGGTGTCTGCCGAAGTGGACTACTGACAGAGATATAGCAACTGGAGTAAGGAACTTTTGACAAAGACAAAAAGAAATTCTATGTTCACATGGATAGATGGAATCTTTAAAACCCAGGTTTCCATTTGAAAGGGACGACATAAGTATTTTCCCTTTCTAGTAACCTTAGACCCCTTCCCAAAACTAAATAAGTTTGTATGACAATATCCAGACCAGAATTTACAGTGCTCTAAGTGTTAGATCACCATCTTATTACCATTTAGAAGACTTGCATTCACAGGTCTACATGTATTTCTTAAATGTACACGGTTTAAGAACAACAATGAAAAAAAGAAATAGAGAAGTGATTTGTCCAATGTCCCAGCTGACATTTGGAACCAACCTTTATCACCTCTTACCCTAATAATTTCATACAGAAGACTACTTGAGAACTTCAGAAAAAGAAATAGAGAACAGTGCCAACACAGTACAGTCTAACGTATTAATGCTACACACCAAATCAATCATGTATATGCTATTTTAGGAGTAGTTTTATTCTGTTGGTGGGGAAGATAACTTTACTAAGTGGGGATTAAAAAGAGATTTATAGAGTGAGCTCAAAGGATGGAAAACATTAATCCTGACAAAGACAAAAAGAAATTCTTCATAGTAAGGATAAAATTCTGATCTCACTGAAACAAATGGCAATGCTACAATTTATTTCAATAGGATCAGATTTTCATTACATATATCATCACAAAGAAAAAGTAATATGTCCATTAATAACTTACCATGTTCAAAAGCAGGAAAAAAGGGATGTTTTATTTCAAGAAAGATTATTCTCTTTTTTAAAACAGCTCTGTCTAAAAATTGCACAGGTAGTTTAGCTGATCTAAAAGTCTATTCATTTTTAATACAGGGAATAATACTTTTTTAACTTAAAATTTGATCTCCATTTACGTCATTTTACATAAGTGTAGTTTGTCACTGAGAACATTTTACCATGAGTTCCTGTTCCAACTCAGTATTTCTTGCTGCAGCAGTGGAATAAGCAATAGTCTTTTCTTCCAACTGTTTCTCAAGTGCAGAAATTTGAGAAGATTTACTTTTTATCTGAAATTAAATATGGCATAAAACGGCATGAAGACAACTGTTTCGGGATTATTCAATTATTTGTATGTACTTTCTTACCACCAATTCCATTATAGCTACTACTATTTCCTAGTATTTTTAATGAATTATTTATTTGTCTGTTCATTTTTGTATGATCTATTAAACTTTATTACTTACAGAGAAGAATTCAGGACAATTTACCTCAAATTTATCCAATTCATGATAATTATCAGTGCCATATAAGCAAATTAGCTGTTACAGATTTATAACATTTATGGCAATTATGAGGAAATACTGCAAATCCTATAATGCTGGACCAGAATGTAAACATTAGGATTTTAACTTATCCAACCAGAGAAGAGCAAGCTGAAGCTGAATTTCTTTCTTTTGTAACTGTCTGGTAATGATGTTAATCTCTGGCAACTGCACTAAAATTTAATGAAGTAAAATACAATTGTTTTTCTGCTTGCTCGAAGTTTATTGCTTAAATAAGCCAGATTTTAAAATTAATATGTCAATTGCAGTTTTTCCATAACTACTGTCTTAACTATCTTTGATTACTGAAAAAGTGACAAATTTTTTCAGTGCTGCTAGAAACTTACTTCTCTCTCCAAGCTACTAGCTTTTGAAGCCTTCTTCAGTAGGTCCTCCTGTATGATTTGAAACTGGCTGGCTCTCTGAGTCATGCTGGTCTTCAAAGAAGAATTCTCATCATCTGCTTTTGTCAGTTTAGTGCGTAACTCTTCTATCTCTTTCTGGAATCTTTGCCTCTCCTTTTCAAACTGCTTGCTGATAAGTTCCAACTGTTGGCATTTTCTCCTCTCTTAAAGTAGAAAAAGTAAATTTAAGATTAATTTATAAAAGAACATACAAACCAGCACTCAAGCAAACAATCATACGAACCAAAGAGAGGAAAAATATAATTTAATGACAGGATGTTTAACTAACATATATAGTATTCAGACCCAAGACTGTTTATTTTTTCCCTGTAATGTAACTGAAAGCTGTGACTTTTAAAAACAAACAAAACCCTCACAAATAAACACACACATCCCCCCAAACAAACAAAACAATTGAAGACAGAATCATTATATAGGTGCCCTGAAGTCATTTCATGGAGCAGTCCTAACAGAAATTGCAGAAGCAATTGCAGAAATTCTGCAACAGGAGGATACAGAGAAAAGAATCAAAGAAAATACGGAGACGCTAGCATAACCTGCATAAAGAAAAAAATACATGGTTCTATTTCAACACAACTCATAGCTTGCATACTGCTGAACAAGTAACTTAACTAGCAAAAGGAAAAAGAATATCATGCCTGGAAAACATGACAATTTCCAGAATTCCAAGGTGGCAAAATGCTCTGTGTTCAACCAAACCTTATCCGTTAGTTCACAGAGATGTATTTTAAAAAAACACTATTCAACTACTTAAACCTCACCAAAAAATACCTATTCTGTGGATTAATCAGACAGAACTGCACAGCTGTTTTGGTAAGCTTACCTCCTTGACTTCCGATCAATTTGACAGGCTCTGTTTCCAGGCCACATAACCTGCTATTTTCTTGTCCTTCATTACCATTAGAAACATGCTCAGGTCCATTAGAGATTGTTAAATTTGCATGAGGCTTTTGAATTTCTGCTTCTTTCATTGCCAGTTTAATGCTATTATAAAAGAGGATAAAATTATTTAACATTCTTTCTACATGCTACTTCTAATACCACCTTATTCTCTCCCTATTCTTGCCATAATTCAGTAACCAGAAGTTATACCTTAGGTCTGCAATCGAAGGTTTATTTGATTCACAAGAAGATTCAGAGAGAGCTGCCTTTGTTGAGGAACTGGATAGCTGGTGTTTCAAGCGGTGCCATTTAAACTAAAAGTTAAGGGAAAACCAAGGTCAATACAAAAATCACCTTTTTATTGCTTCACAGTGCGAATAATACATGGGTTATACCAGCATATAATTTCTAAGACACATATGCTAGGATGTTAAAAGTTTGGATAACTTGATCTTTAACATTATTCTCCTAAGCACGTGCTTGCAGAGCACTGCAGGTTTGTCTCACATTAGTAGAAGTTATAAGCATTAAGGCCCTCGGAAATGAAGATCGTTCCTTTAGGTATTTTTGAACGGGTACTGAAGCATGAATGTTTTCACTGCAAAAAATTAAGTAAATGGAGAAACTATCACTAATTCCACATTTTGAACGTCTCACATTATCCTTCCTTTCAGATTCAATGACTGCATTTAATACCATTTTTTCCTCAAGTTACAGAAGGCTTCCGAATATTCCATTAAATTACAAGAATAATTTGGTGATAAGCTTCACCAGTACAATCGTCAAGCTCATAAGCCAGGGTTCATCCTGGTAAAACAAAAGTTCATTTGCAGTTAGGGAAGGTGTGCCTTCTCTTTCCTGACAAAAAAAAAGTCCCTACAAACGTCTCTCCTCCTCTAATCTCTCCATTGCTGAGGCTGACACATCGACTCTGTGTGACACAATGCATCTGCCATATAGGAAATGTCATACTGTTCCACTGAGAACCAACTCAGTGTCATATAATAGAATGTCATAATGTTTTAGAGAATATACCTACATCTGAAGCATTAATACATAGAACAAAGGAACAGAAAGTGCAATTTTAAATGCTTGCTGATTAATCAATTCCGAAGCACCTATTCCTTGTTCTTGAATGAGAAAACAAATTAAATGTATTTAAATTAGGAAAACATTTCATCCATGCATCTTGAAAACCAAAGATATTTTACTCAGATTACTTCAAGAACATCACAGGACTTCCATGCAATGTCAGTTAGAGTTGTTTAAGACACATAATACAATTTGTAAGGATGTATCAGTTACTGTACCTCTTCAGATGTACTTAGAGACAACTGGAAAATAATGGTTTCTAGTATGTTGAGCTCTTCCCTTGAATCTTCAATTTCTTGACGGCATAATTTCAAGCGGTTATGTTGCTGTGCGGTAAGTGCTCTCAGCTCTGCATTTTCACTTATTAGAGCTTTTTTCTCTTTAAGAACTATTTCTTGTTCACTGAGTTCACTCTCAAGCTCAATGATCTTCTGATCAGATTGAGTCAGCATTGATACCATTTCAGTGTTCTTTGCCTCTAGAGTCTTAATTTTTTCTTTTGTGCTATGATTCTCCTCCTTTAAATGCCTAAAAAAGTATAGCCATGTAAAAGGTACAGCTCAACATAGAGAAGTAGACTCAGATTTTCAGTATTAAAACTACTAGAAGAACGCACTGTAACTATACTGTTTTACTAGTTTTCTCCCTCCCAAAGTCTAGGATTAGCTCTATACACAGGATAGAAAAATTTTCACTGCTTTACTATGCTTTCGCTGTTCCTAAGGACCAAGATGCAAACTGCTACCAGCAAATAAAACGAGAGAATAAATTACTTCTCCTTCTTAAGAAACTTAAAGTTTTAAGTGCTATCATGAGGGTCACTGGCAGGAAACAGATTGAGGTAGCTTTAAATGTGCTGAACCAAGGAAATTTAAGAACAAGATAAAATAACTATGTAACTACATCTAAAATGACAATGGATGAAGACTAAGACTGAGCTAGTCAAAACTCCCCTCATATCTGACTGCACAGTGAACCAATTGCATTTTTAGCCCACCACAAATTATACAATTTTTTAAGCACCTGTTGATTTAGTAAACTGAATTAGCTCAGCAAAGGCCCTGATGAGTGCCAAAGCCAGTGCAGGTTAGCAGAGAAAAGAGAGCAGTCTAGAGGAAAGAGCCCAAACAGCAGCAGCAGTGAGCTATTAAACAGCCTGAAGCTAGCGTAAGGGTGCTCACACACTGCCCAGCCTTGCCAAGTGGCCTAAAGAACCATTGTTAAGACAGAAACATGGGTGTGGACAGTGCCTGAGTGCAGCCTCCCCACTGGATGTCACAAGCATGCTGCATTCTAGCTAGGGACTGACAATATGGTGGGTGACAAGTAGGAACTCGCACCTGGCAGTGTAGGTGAACTCACAGGGTGATCTCTCATCTGCACGTACGTTAGCAGACATAGGCAGCAGAAGAGGAACACAAAGCCAGAGTATCCACATCTCCCACAGAACCAGTGTGTGAGCAAGGGAACTTATGCTCCTAGAAGGCTTGGTGGGGTGTTGCTTATTACTGTGAATATGTGTCAGTGTGTGGTATTAGGACTTTCAAGGATTGGTTACAGAAAGCATTTAGAAATTTTAAGTGTATGTTAACATTTTTTACCTGTTTAGTATTATGGTTTATCTGTTGTACTGCTGATACTGATTCTAAGTGTTCACTGATGCTGGTCCTGGTTTGGTTTGAACTACGCAAATTGTGCAGCACGTTCATAGTGATGGTTGTAATACACAATTTCTTTCAAATAACTGCACGGAAATTTTGAAAAGCCTTTGCATTACCTTAATTGCTCTTCTAGGACATCTAGGTCTTTTCTGTAGCTGACACACTTCTCATTCAACTTCTCTTTTTCTTTTTCACAATTAATTAAACGTTTTCCCAAGGCTACTTCTTCAGCTTTAACCTTAAAAAGCAATTTTTTTCATTACTGTACAACAATAATCTAAGGTTCCACGGCTAACAGGCTTATTTAAAACAATACTATAAACACTACGCTGTTTCTTTTTTTTCCTTTCTGGTAAGCCTGAAGATAATTCTATTGCTCACTGTTGTGAGGAAAAGGAGAAGGGCAAAGAAATTTCCTTTTTTTATGTCATTTGGGGAAAAAGTAATGTTATTATGGTTTAATATTTTAAGGCATATCTGTGGTTGGTGATCTCCTTCCACAAGGAAAGAAGTCTAATAAAATAAAAATTGTCTGTAAGAACTAACTGTCTCAGGCCTGTATTTTCTTTTTCCACAAGGCAGGAAGCATTAACAGTTTTGAACACTAGAACTTTGAGAGACGATTTCATTTTCATTTTAGCTCTTCTCTAGCTCATGTTTCATTTAACAGGTTATACAGATGGGATCAACAGAGTTCTTTTAAAAGGATCGTATACTTTTAAAATGTAAAATTCCCAACTGCCAAGTAAGAGACAAAAGAAACAGCAACAGTATTAGGATCTCTCAAAGGTGCAGACTGTCCAGACTGTGCGAAGACAGTTTATAACTGTATAACTGAAGTTATCACCACAAAGAGTTGCTTACCCTGTCTCACCTCTCTCAAGACCACCAATAAGCAGAAACAATTGACCCACTGGTGAACCCATTGCTGTTTGCTGTGCAGCTTATTGGAAGAAGCAAAATCCTATAAGTGTGGCAAAACAAGCGAACAAAAAACGCTTACCTTTTCTAATTCTTTAGTTATTTTCTGTTTATACTTTTTGAAAGCTCTTGTCAGCTCCTCCGCATTCAATAAAGCTTCATTTCTTTGCTGTTCTGCTCTGCAAAGAAGCATACCAATTTTAAATATCACAAATTTCAGTCATTATGTAAATGTCCCCCCCAGATACTAAAAATAGCTAATAAATTAACTGCTCCATGTAACTTCCTTTATTCTCCCAACTTTTCAAGCCCTAGATAAAAAAATTTCATAAATTAATTTTAAATTTAATTTTTAGATATTAACATAAACAAAATTCCAGTAAGACTAAGAATGTAAAAATAAACCTTTTTGATTCCCCTTCAGAAAGAGTTTGATTCAAATCATCCTCCTGTCTCTACCAGTAAAAGCCCATTTTAAGGACTGAGATAGCGTGCATGATAAGGAAGCAGGTAATAGCAGTGCTCCTAAATATTCACACTGCTTAAGGGGAACTAGAAAAGATTTTCATGCTGAAGGGAGCTCTTATGATGGAATTATGGTGAGACTGACAGAAACTGATCAAAGGATATTTGGGAGATACAGGAGAGATGGCATCAGTAATAGTAAAGGAAGCTGAGACCGGCATGATATTGGGTGATTAACTGTTCAAAGCAGCAACTCAGACTGCCTGCTGTTTCGTTCTATTACTCCGTGCCCTGCCCCTCTCTTACTTTCCCCTGTCATTATCACTCCGGAAGAGGCTGTAACAGTAACCTTGGGACAGCTCAGGTTTGCAGTCTGTTAAGGATACCCAACAAGAGGCACACAAGAATTACTGCTGCTCAGTAACATTTGTTTCTCTTCCACTAAGGGAACTGCGGGGCCTGGAAAGTGCCTCATCTAAGTACAGCCTACCCTCAGACCAGTGTTTCTCAGTCTGAGGACCACTACCCATTTGGAGATGGCAAAAGTATTCAGAAAAGGGGACAAAAGGATTTCAGAATAACAAACAAAATAGCATCAGTCTAAAGCACTTCAGTTTGCTTGGTCAAAGAATAGTAAGTGGTGGTAATTACTGATTAAAAGTAAACTGTAATAATTGTTAATACTAACCATAACACTGCATGTTGCCTTTAACACCTGGCAGAAGCTCAGTTTTTCTAAAGTACAAAAATACTGAACACAGCTAATTCCAACCCCACATGCTCTGAATGAGCAGTGAACATAAATGAACACAGTTCTTCACCAGTAGCACAAGCCCCACAGTATTTCCATTTGTCTAGCTATGGGAAGATTAGAGGTAATTTTGTGGGTAGATAGACAAGCCAAACAAGAGTTTTGCATTCAAAAGGCTAAAGAAATGCTTTCCTAAGTCATTAATTCAGATAATTTTTGCACCAGGTAATGCAGTTAAATGAGCTGGGCAGGTAGGAATCTTTTTATTTATTCGTCTCAGTTCTCAAAATTCTATTTTGGAGGTGATAGGATTGTAGAAGGCAACTTCCAACAGTTGAAAGAAATTACCTAACCCTCGCAGTAGACACACAACCATCAGGCTAAAGGAGGTAACAGGAAAGGGAAATAGGGATTGGGATGGAATTACAGCACTCTTTTCAGTAGTACCATATAGACAAGTAAGATTAAGGATAACATAAAAACATTCTCTCGAATTGTGCTTCCATCACTGTCCTGACACCAACCACAAAAATGCAGCACTCAGTACTGTTGCACACTGAGTATGCACTGCAGGTTCTTGCAAGGCAAAGCCTCTTGGTTTAGCCCAGCCAGCAACTAAGCCCCTCAAAGCTGCTCGCTCACCATCCCCAGCCCTGGGGAATGGGAAGAGAATTACAGGGGAAAAGGGAAGGACACTGATGGGTTAAGTACAATTTAACAACAAACAAATGATGTACAGTGTAATTGCTCTTCACCCTGTGACCAATGCCTGTCTCCACACAGCAAACAATCCCAAAACAGGTAAGTCTCAACACCACAATCCCAGACAAATGAGAGGCACAAAAAGAGAATAAGAGAGAGCGAGCACTCTGAAAGCCCCCAGAAGAGAGTCCCAAGGAGAGCAAAAGCACTTCTTCCTGGTCAACCCTCATCTATATACCGGGCATGACACTGAATACTCCATTGACCAATTTGACCCTCAATCCTAGGTCTAAGTTCAAATCGTAAGAGGAGTTGTGGACCCTTTGTCCCAGCTGTGCTCCCCCTCAGCCTGTTGTGCTCCTGCACACTGACAAAACATGAGAAGCTGAAAGGTCCTCAATGTCTCAGCACCAACTATAAACATCAGTGCACTATCAATGTTCTTCTCATAACAAATCTCCAACTAAAACCAAAACACTGAGCTCTTCTAGCTGCTAAAAAGAAAAACTAACTCTGTCCCAGACAAAATCAGGACACAAAGTCAAAAATAATTCAGGAAAAACATATTCTGGACATATTTCAACTCTCCACTGCAGAACATCTGTTCTGAAGGCAAAATAACAGGTGATAAACTGGTTACTACTGTACAACATCAGCCTGCAACTACCAGCAAATTTTAAGATTTTAAAAAATAAGTATCTTCACACAGAATTTCCCCATATTAAAAATAATGTTCATAAAGCAGAGAAATAATTTGATTCCACAAAGCAAACATCCCCCAATGGAAATAAACACTTATGCACTATTATTCTGTATTTGATTTCCTAAAATTACTTAGCTACCTCTTTCCTTGCTTGCTTCGTTCAATTAACTCCATTTTCAGATTTTTATAGTCCTTTTTATATCTTTGCAACATGTTTTCTCTTTCCATTCCTGTTTTCTGGCTTTGATCTAATTTATCTTCTGTATCTCTAGCAAATAAACAAAGCATAATTAAAAAATAGGAACTTTTTTGTAAAGAAACCAGATTTTTGTTGTTCTTTTCTGCACATAAGGTTTGAGAAGTGCTAGTCAAACATGCTGCAACTCTAAAAACAAGATTTACAACACCCATAGTCTCCAGACTCCCCAGGAGCATGTCTGCAGTGGTGTCTAAACCTCATCAATAGGCATCAGGCATCACAATTGCCATGGACTCAGATGGCTGACTTTGTGTCACGAGATCTGAAGATAGAAGTCACTATTCTTCTGGCAAGAGGTACGATTGGTGAGGATATACACGTGGGAAATCACACTAAAACATAAATGAAGTATTTTTACTTGTTTTGTGAAGACAGACTGTTGAGATATTAATTGAATATTATATAGCATGAGGTTGTTAGATAAAGCGACAGCCAGGTACGTCTTCCTGACAGCCTCTGGACACTGTTTACATTAGCTTTATTTGGCCATTTGCGTTGATTAATACGTTCATGAAGAAAGAATCCTTTATGCTACATGCTGCACAGTCATGTTTGAAAATATGTATGCTTATTTTCTAGAAAAGATACACAGTCATGTAGCACACGACCACTCTAGTCAGTTATAAAGGCACATTCATGTTTAGCATACATTATAAACTGTTTTCTTTTACCAGCCTTCAGTTTCTCTTAATTTCTTGAAGTACATTCCTCATATACAAGGTATCAGTTCAAAATAAAACAATTCCCTCCTCCTACATATGGCTCTGAAACGAAAGTTTCAAGCCTCAGATTACATGACCCACACAGTACCAGTAATTATGTCATCCCGAAAAAGAGACTGGACTAGCAAGCAGACCACAATAACACGATGATTTAAAAGTACACTTATTACCTCAGAATTTTATCTTGAGCTGAAACTTCTGCTTCCAAGTTTACAATCTGTTCTTTTAACTTCGGAATGGTGACTAAATGTGTACCTGAAGTCGATTCAAGATAACAAATCTGAAATATAAACATATTTGGGCTTTCATTAACACTTGTATATATACCTTCAGGTGAGATGCATAAGAACAATCTGCTTACTGAATGACACAGTGCTCTTAACCTTACTGTAGATGCTTGTTCATTACACAAACTGACCTCCAATTTTCTGCTCATTGAACACCCCTCCAGTTCCCTAATATCATTCCAGCGTGATATGCTGCCTAGCAGAGTGATTTCTTTATATGTTGTTCTTGTCCCTTGCTTTTCCCCGAAAGTTTTTATTCTATTTGTTCTTTCTATATTTTGTTTATCTACTTATCTGTACTGTCTTGGAAAAATTATTTATCACACAAAACCAATTAAGCATAGCTATATTTTATTAATGTTACAAATAACTCAAATACAAGAATATAGTTGTCCTGAAAAAAAACTGTACATACAAGTGCATATTAAATCAATAATGATTTATTAGACACAATATTTCCTTCTAACTCACATTCACTTTTTCAAAATAGCAATATTAATCCAGCCTGAAAGGACATAATTTTTCATTTCCTACACAAATGACTTCTGTGCCACTATTATTCACATTAAGATTAATGTGGCTTAGACACATGAATGTACAGCGCTACATACATTATTGAACTATTTTCTTACATAATGTATTCTTCATTCTGGGACTTACTGGCTTTAGATTAAACTTTGGAACACGATTATATAGAATTCACAATTAATATAGTTGTTTTGCTCACGGAGAAACACATTCCAAACTATTCTGTTCCAAGATTATTGCTGAATATTATGAAAAAATAAAATATTAAAGTTTAAATATTAAATTCAGACTAGATAAATCTAGATAAATTTAGATTAAGATAAGACAAAAAAACAGTACGTTGTGCTTGGTTTTGGGGTTTTTTTTATGAATACACTAAAGATACATACTCTTGTTTTTGACTGCATCAATTCAAAGTTCATTGTTTTCACTCTCTTCTTTAGGTACTGGTTCTGAGAAGCCAAAGCTGCATTTTGCTCATGAAGGACATCCAGCTTCTCCTTAAGACGTTCAGTTTCTTCCATGGTTTTATCAGAAGTTGTGGATACTGAGTAAGACTAGACATAAAAAAAAAGTTTTACATATATATACACACACACTTATTATGCATATGTAAGCAATACGTACATCAATGGAAACCCTGCAGAACAAATGTATTTAAATCATATTATGTTTAACAGTGCTCCAGTTGCCCAACGCTAGTGTGTATGAACTTCAAGCCTTAAAAGCAAAAAAAATAATTCATAAATATAGCAAAGAATAGAAAAACAAAAAGTAAAAGTAATGAAGTGCAATATTTACTTCGGATTCTCTTTGAAAAACCTGGCAAGATGGTTTACCAGCATTCTTCTTACAGTTGGAAAAGCCTCGATAGTTGCAATTAGGCTGAAGAAGGTCCTCCAGAGTGAATTTCACAGCCTCATCAAAGCAGTGGCCATAATGTTCACTTGTACTAGTGCTAGAAGGGAGAGTAAAAAGTTGCTACATCATTTTTTCTTTATTATTCTTCAATTGCTTATACAGAGTATTCAAAAGAGAAGCACAAAAGGAGCTACATGCAACAATCCATTATGCTTAGTAAGACAGTTTTACACTACAAAAGACAGGCTGTTCTTATTCCCAAACACACTCATACCTGGAAAGCTCTTTCTCTACAGTTTGTAGGTTTTTTTCAGTTCTCCTCAGCTGATTCCGTAAAGACTGTAAATTTGCAAGCAGGTCTTCATCAGCAACACTTTTAGAGCAAGTCCCCATACTATATTCCATTGGTACCACAGATATAGCTAAAATAATATTTAATATTAAAGCATTGTTAAATGTAGGTGAATAGTGTTTGCAATTATACTTTTAAAGATACTAAAATAAGGCAAATAGAAAAAAAGAAAGGCGAAAAAATACAAAAAGGAAATACAGGATTTCCAAATGTAAACATAAGTTTTGCGTGCTACCTCTTCCCACATTCACTAGATAAAAGTTACTCTGTACAAATTGCCTTTTTTTGAGAATGAGAGTTCTGTGTGCATTCATGAAGTATGAGAAGCTTCATGAATTGCCACTTATGAAAACTGGAAAAACCTGCTATACATTAGTTGCCAAAAATACGTTACACAACACATCTCGACTACTTCAGAAGTCCCACGCAACTAGCAGGGTGCCTTAAACGGTAACACCACATACACAACGAACACGCAAAACTTGCCTCGCCGTCCAGCGACCAGCGAAACTAAAAAAAATGTCAGAGCAGCGAGGACTTGACAGCACAGAGGACACAAGCTACTTAAGCTAGGGGCAGCCTTCGCCCCAGCAAATAAGGCTTTGCAGATCGGAACTGAGATGTTTTAGCAGGACGCGGACAGGCGATTCAGAGAAGCCAACGCTCCCGGGCGAGGCGGTGCCGCCGCCGCCCCGCTCCCGCAGCGCGGGTCCC